AATTATTAATTTTATTATTTTAATCACTATAATTTCAAACTTAAAATATCTTTATAGTATGTTTGATCAATAAAATTAAAGGATTTTATATCAAAAGACATTATCTTTGAAAGTAAGCCGCGCCTTCTATGAGTTGATAAAATGAAAAGGATGTATGTTTTGAGAACATGAATTGTCACGATAAATGTCTGGGTGAGCCAAGCGATAGGAATGCAACACGTAAGGCACTTCCCATGTTATTCTTCTGATTGTTTCGTAAACTCTCATTTACCCCTATACAATGGTGGTACATCGTCGTATGTCTGCATATATACGTACTTACTTAGATCTGATGCATTGGAAATAGCGCAACTCATCACCAGGAATATTAAATTCTCATTATACAAAATGCGTCATAACGAAAACGACACGTTTGATTTATTGACAGAAAATTTAATGAATAGAATTTCTGCGCAATTTTCTGTGATCGTTTTGATTCTATACGTATTTAAAAGGAAAAAAAATAAAAAATAAAAAAAAGGAAAATGATATTAATATTATTATGATAAATGATATTAATATTGACTAATGATATTATATTTATAATATTATATTTTATTGAAATATATGTAAAAAGTATATTATAAAATAGGAATTGATATTTATTATATTTGTATTATAATTTTCTTTTTTAACTATTTAACTAAAATTTTTAATTTCTTTCTTTTTAGAGAAGAATAGATACAAAATGACATATTGAAACTTCTACTTCTTAAAATTATATTACATTTTTATTTTTACATTTTTCTAAAATGTAATTTTCAAATCATCATTGATAATTTGAAAGAATTTGTGATTAATATTTAAAAAAGTCAAAAAAAAATTAATAAATATATATATAATGATATAATGATATATCATATATAATGATATAATGATATATCATGAGACTATTAGATATTCCTTATTAATTTTTATGGGATTTGAACTACATAATAATAATAAATAAGAAATGGGAAAGTATTATGACATATCATCAATTAACATCGATTAATTTACATTGAAATATTTACAACGTAAATTAAATTCAATCATTTTGTGTAGTTTAATCTAATATTCGGAGTATATACTAACTTATAGAGATTGTGTTAATAGCAGGAAACATTGTAGAAAAGGATGATCAATTTACATACTTGTTTTGTAACGTCTATTCTTACATAAAATTAATACATAAATAAAAAATTATAAAATTCATTAAAAATATAAATATAAAAAATATAGAAAATAACATTTATCAAAAATAACATTAATTAAAATAATATTTATTATCGAAAAATTATATTAATCATCTAAAATATTATTTTATAATTTGATTAATATTTTCATTTTTTTATGCATTTGTCAAGAAAAAAAATAATGACAATAGATATTTAATCAACTTTTTACAAATCTAAATGCAAAAAAAATTAAAAAAGTCTTCAAATTATTAAAAAATTTTTAAATCATCATTGAATGTTCACTAAATGGATTATTTATTTTAATTTTTACTGATTCTTGAATGAATTTTATTACGTAATATAATAAATTCACCAAGGCTATGGAACGTATTTCTTTCGACACCCTATAGATATACGCGCGCCAGTACGTGATTCAATGCAATGTGCCATACGAGGAATACCTAAATGAAAGAACGACGCGGTTTGAGTCAACCACGGTCCCGGTGTATCCCGGTGCGACAGCAAATGTACGAAGAATTCCAGCCATCGCGTGGATCGTGTGCAGGTGATGGCGTACAGCTTAGTCAAAGAAAATGGGATTAGTCATCATTGTCCATGAGAAAACGATTTTAGTTCCGAAGCTGACTGATTAGTCAGCTTTTCGCTCATAGTATATCCGTTCTTCTGTCAATCTTCGATTGTTTCCAAGACAAAATCTGTGCACTTTGTTGTGCGAATTGGACAGTGATTAGATCTTAACTATGTCACAACAACAGTAGTTGAAACAGTAGTCATCTTGTCTTGTTATGGCACGATTAAGGTAGATTCTATGTGTAATCTATGTTATCTATGAAATGTGATCCATAATATTTGTTAGAAATTTAATATTTCTGAATTAAAGGGAAATGTTATTTTATTATTGAAATAAAATAGAAAAGCATTTTGTTATGATATGATTGAATTACTGAAGATTTTTTTATTTAAATCAATAATATGGTTTTGAAGATAAATTTATTATATGATGCGCTTGGAGATTGAATTTTTATTAAGAAAAAGAATAATATTTTTTATCTTAAAATAACATAAGGAAAAGTTTATTATTAAAATACGGATTTTTTTTTACAGATTCTTTGATCTATATATAATATTGATATGCGATATATAATTTGATCTATATAATATTTCTCGAAAATATTGATTTTGTTTGAATAGAAAAATATTTAATATTTGATTTATTGAAATAATCACGATATAAATTGAAAAAATATTTCAAGTATTACGTATACAATTTTTTAATTTGTTTTTAACAGAAATTGTTTTTAAAATAGAAATTTTAAATTTTAAATATTTATTTATATATAAATCTATTCAATTTAGAAGAAAAAAATAAATATAAAACAATATAAAAATATTTAAGTGAAAAAGTAAATAAAAAAAAATGAAGAATATTATTTATATTTTTTAATATTATAAAAATTGTTAGTAAAATTCGATCAATATTAAAAATATTAAAGAGTAAGCATATTAAAAGATTAAAAAAACTTTGTTTATTATATAATTAATTAGTATATAATTAATATAATTTTATATATTATTAATATACTAAATGATATATTTACAGTACATGTAAAAATTAAAGAAGCCGAAATTGAAGATGTAGACTTATATAAAAATCAAATTGATATTGTTCTTTAATCTATTAGCTATATGACAAGTATAAAGAAATGACAATTTTTATGATGAGTATACTCATCATCTTTTCATTTTTGCGATACAATTAAATTGTTTAAACATTTTTAAAATAGAGCAACATACTTAACGGATTAAATTATTTTTATTACAAAAATATAAATCTATAAGATAAATTAAGTGTTAAATATTAACAGAAAAAAAAATTTTTTCTTTAATATAAATATAAATAACAAATAATAAAAATGTTTAAAGAAAAAACAATTTTATACTTGTAAAATTTCATTATATTTGTATGAATCGACTATTTTTCTTTCATAAATCTTATAATAATTAATTAATGATTAATATGAAAAAATATTATCAATATTATATTTTTTATTTTGGCTTCATTTTATTAATTATATTTTATGTTAAATTTTTTACAGAACAGAAGATAATCAAGTAGATACATCAAAAATTCCTTCTTCTGTTTCTTTGCAAGATGAATATCTCGGTGATTTTTTATATGCAACTGAACCACCGGAAGATGTGGCTACACCAAGAAGCGCAAATTCATCGATAGCAATTAACTTTTCAGAAACGGAACCAGCTTATAAATCTGTGTTACATTCCAGAAATTATAGACAATCTTCATCAATAAGAACATGGTTGAGTGATCTTGCAATGGAAACAGACAATGAATGTAACAATACTCTTCAAAGCAAAGCTTTACCACGACGAAAGTATCGCGAGTTTTTGGATGAAAAAGGTGAAATGATTGATTTGAAAAATTTATCATCTTTAGCTACTGCAGCTGCAAATAAATTACTTATTAGAGCTGAACAATTTGATCAACATTATCAATATATTTTTGAGTAAGTATATTTGAGAATAATTTAAAATTTTACATGTAAGTTTTAAAATTGATGAAGTTACAGAAATGATATCGAATATAGAAAAGATAACATAAACGATATTAATAACTGATTTTATTTTTTACAGCAAAATATCACATTTAGAAAGTGATAGATTAGAACAACAATTTCTACGTGCCATAGAAGATGACGCTTTTTCCCTGCTTTCGGAATTGGGTATACCATCCCCGCGTAAAATTCATCAAAACAGTTTAAAAGAAATATTATCGCAATTAGAAAATATGAAGAATTTTGTCGACAATGCTGTAAATACTCGCTTAGATTTTTATATCGAAGTAAGATTTTATATTATATAATATTGTGAAATAATTAATAATAAAAAATATGTTATACATTAAAAAAATATAATATTAAAATTATCATATTATAGAGAGTAGTCAGAGGATTGGAAGAAGCACCGAAAGATGATACCACATTAACTAGAGGTGCTTTAGCAGCTTTAACTGCTTTAGGCTTAGCAGGACCTCGAGCAGGAAGCAGTATTACAAGATGTTTAGGTATTAGAGCACTTTTGACATCTGTAATCACTACTGGAAAAACATCAATGGATTTCGTCGCAGCTTCTTTACGAGCATTAGCAAGTGTATGTAGTTCCGCCATGGCGATAAACCAATTTGTTAAAGATGGTGGTCCAGAAATATTAACAGACCTATTAGTCGCAGATAATATAACTGAGAAGGAAAAAATGGAAGCAACAGCATTACTTGTGCAGATTACTGCACCTTGGGTTAATGGTGTAGGTTTACCTTATTTGGAATCTTTTGCAAAAGATTTAATACCATCCTTAAATTGTCTAGTCGAAAATACCAATTGTGGGCAGACTTTGTTGTTAGTTGCAGCTGCATTCAATCACTTGTCCAAATCCAAAAAATATGCTCTTGTGATATTAGAACAAGAAACAGTTAAAAAACTGTTAAAAACTGTGAAAAAGTCAGCTGGAAGAAATGTTTGGTTAATGGAACAAGTAGCAGCTCTTATCAGTGAACTAGCGCGTATACCTGAAGCTCGAATATATTTAGCAAAAGTTCGTGCCTCTATTGCATTAGTTTCTTTTCTTAGAATGCGACCTCCTGGCTTGGAGGATGCATATAGACGATTAGAAATTACTGCTGCCGCAGCACTTACAAGACTCTGTGTGGATCCAGAGATTGCAAGACAAGTAGTTGCTGTCGGAGGTGCAGATTGTCTTCCATCATACAGAGCTGAAGATCTTTTAACTGAAGATGAAAATCAAATTGAAGCTGGATTATTAAAATATACAAAATCCTTAAGAAAGGCATGTAGGAAAGCCGCAAAACAAATTGATATTGCAAAGGCCAGTGATTCTAGTACTTTGAATTAAGATTAATATATTGATTAATATAAGATTAAAATATTGAAGTTGTACATATGTTGTATCTTATGAGATAAACGAGATTTTATATTTATACTTTTATATAATAAAAAAAAAATAAATCTATTGAATATATCTAAAAATATATTTATTAAATATATCTCTTATATATCTTTATATATCTAAATATGATATAATATATACATTATGTTAAAAATCTTGATTCATAGATATAAAAAATATAAAAAATACTGTTAAAAATAATATTTATTACTTATAATATAAATTGTAATTCTGTGCAATGCAAGTCAAGTTCTATAAAAATTATATAATTTAAATTCAATTAAATGTAATGAATATATAAAATTAATTTTTTCATTTTTAATTATTTATCATTATTATAAAATATTATTATTTAATTTACAGTTTAAATCACTTTTTGATCATTATTTACTTGACTTTTATGAAATATATCTATAGTTGTTTCTGAACAAGGTCTTAGTTCAAGATCACAAGCACCTAATACAAATTTTCCATTAGGTGGTTTAAAATAATCCAATCCACGACCGATTTTAATTATCCAACCATTGCTAAGTCTAAAATAAAATCATATATAAAATAAGAAAAAAATATAGCAATTTATAATAAAAAAGAAATAGCAATATATAGCAATAATCATATTCAACTAAGATATGTTCTTACATAATTTGTCTATCATGAAGAGTATCAGAAAATTTAAATTCAAAAGAAATAAGATGAGATGATAAACTTTGTTTCAATTCATTTAATCTTGCTATTTGATTTTTCTTATCATCTGGATCAAGAGTTGTAACTAAAGATATTTTAGATAATGCATGACATTTTCTCACAGCTAATTCACATAATCTTACAAAATTTTGACACTAGAAATAAAATATAATTAATTTAAAATATATTTTAAATATAATTTAATTTTATTTTAAATATAATTTAAAATTTAATATATAACTTATAAACTATATTAAAATTAAATAATACCTGATGAAATGCTCTTATATAAGGATCTTCAATATTAATATATGTAACAGTTGCATCTAAAAATCTTCCAAAAACAGTACCATAACCATGTCCTATGCTATCAGTTTCAATTTTAATTAATTCTCTGTATGTACCAGTTGCCTTTTCTTTTTCAATTAAAATTTTTATTTTTTCTGCTCTATCCAAATATTCTGATGCCTTGATAGCAAAATACTTTTGCTTAGCTGGATCTGTTGTTTCTATAATTTTACTAATTTCATAATAAATTCATAACTTATAATATTAAATAATTATAATTTACATTAATTTACTAATTATAATACATTACAGGTAAATTGAAATAATAATTTAATGATTTTTTATTTTAAATAAATTAAAATAAAAATAAAGATATATTACTTAATAAAAAAAAGTTTTATAATTTAAAAAAAATTATTAATAAAATATATGTATAATATTACCTTTTTTAGAATCAAGTAATATTTGTATACCTTCCTGATATAATACTAAAGCCATTGTATACTGTTTATTGCTATCCATTTCTACTGCTCGTTTTAATATTGAAGCTGCCGCGCTTTCCATTGTATGTATATTATAATAAATTATACTTTAAAAATAATTATAAAAAATAATTATATATGTTTAAAATATAATACATATTTTTCTAATATTTAGATAATTTCTAATCTATTGAAAGAATATTTAAAAAAATGGAAAGTACATCACAATACGTGATGTACTGTGCATGCGCAAAAGATAACGAAAATCGATATTTAATGAATCGTAAATTTTTAATAATAATTGATTGTAATTTTTAAAATATTTGGACATAATTTTAAAATATCTTGTCGTTATTATTAAAGTAATCTAAATAAATATGTTCATATTAGATTGCTAATACTTTTATATATAATATATATAATAAATATAAATGGATAGATAAAAAATATATTGTAAAATATATTTGAAACTTAGTTATTATTATTTATTTAATTAATTGTAGAATATAAAAATTCATATTTCATAATATAGTTTATTTATTTTATTATTACATACTTGAAATAATATCGATTCTTAAATATATCGAAAACTACTTCGATTAATCAATGTAATGAAATAAAATTATGGCGCTCAACTATAATATGATTCTAACCTCACAAATAGTAACCTATTAAGTATTACTAATATATAAATTAAGTGAGATGCAAATTAATTGAAATTTATCTTTGTTTATTTTATTAAATACCTCAGAAAAGATAATTTTTAAGATCATTTTTAAAGAAGTCGTAAATATTGATAGACAAATTCGAAATTCTTATAATTCTTAAACTAGATAGTTGTTTTATTATAAGTTTTTAACCAAAATGTAATGATGTCTTCTGTATAGTGTCATAGCGCATAAGCTATATACATATATGAACGCGGGTTTTTTAATAGAAAAAATATTATATGTATTATTTTATATGTATTTTATATACGAAAACACTAAAATTTGAAAGTTTTTACTAGTACAAAATTTTTTTTTATTTTAAATTTAATTTATAATGTAAAAAATTATTTTCAACAAAATTATTATCATTTATGTTATTAAGTAAATTTTCAAAAAATATATGACAATAATTTTTTTAAATATAATATAATTTTAATTAAGTATTTATACATATTATACTTAATATATATATTATATTATAATATAATATAATAAAAAATGGAAAGAATGAAATATTTAGATATATTATATTTAATATATATAATATTTATGTTATAATATATTTAAAATATGATAAATAATAAAAAGAAAAGTATAAAAATCAATATATTTTATATCAGTCATAGTTTTACAATGAAGTCTACTAAAAATAGTGGAATTGGTTCTTTATGGGGAGAATTACCTGCAAGAGAAACTCTAAAACAAGAAGTAATAACTCCAGATATCATAGAAAATGTTTGGAGACAAGTTATGGAAGAATCAAATAATCCTGATTGTGATTTTCAAATAGACAGGCAATCTGAATATATTCAGTAAAGTTATTCATAATTAAAAAATAAATCTTATATTTAGTATATGATATAGTTTTTTTCTTTTTTATTTATAGATTACCTATGGGAAATCTTCATGTATTAAATACTATAAATCTTCATCAACAATTAAGAATAATGGTAATAATTTAATAAAAAATGTATATAGATTTTATCTTTGTATATTAATATTTACATTAACTATAGGAAGAAGGAATGGTATTAGGAAATATGACAACAATTGAAACACAAGATTTACAAGAAGAAAAAGAAACACAAAATTCATTTCATAACTTATCAATACAAAAAGAAAGGTATTAAAATATATAAATATATAAATATAAAAAACATGAAATTCAATAAAAAATTAATATAATTTTTTTTAGAAGTGTATTTAAAGAAGTTTCTACAATACATTATCTTACACCAGAAACATCTCGTTATATATTAAAGCATGCAGTTATTATTCTTTTAGCACATATTGGATTTGAAAAATCTTCAAATATAGCTATAGAAACACTTACAGATATTGCTGGTCATTTTTTAAGAAGAATGACGCTTTTAATGAAAGCAGCATATGAACAAAAAGATCATGGATTTCCAGTAATATAAAATTAATTAATTAATAATCATTTATTTTCATTTCATATTATTTTACTTTTGCTATTTTACTATAAAAAATAAAAAATTTTTAAAATATATATTTGATTCTCTTGTATAGGATATGTTAGAAAGAGTTTTATTGGAAACAGGAATTGGTGGTATATGTGCTCTTCATGACTATTATCAAGAATATATATTAAAATTTGAAGAAAATATGAAAAAAAAAGTTGAAGCAATGATGGAAAAACAGAGGCAACTTGAACTTAATGCTTATAATTCTAAGTATTTAATTGTGATGAAATAGCTGCTAAATTTAAAAAAAAAAAAATTATTTTTAATATTTATTCAATTTATAGGATTGTTTTAGATGAAGCAGCTAATAAATTGCAATTTGAAGAACTTGATGAATTTGGTAATGTTTATCGAGAAGTTCCAACTCTTCAATTGTTAGATCCTGATATGGGTTTTCCTCCTAGTCTTGATGCTGGTTTCCAAATGTTATATAATCTTGAACAAGATGAGTAAGTTATTTATATAAATATTAATTTTTATATATAGCATTATAATATTAATGATTATAGATTAAATAATTTGGAAGTAGAAGAAGAAGAAGTAAATGTAAGTGATTCTCCAAGTACTGGACAACGATCTGATATATCAAATGATAAAAAAAAGTCTTAATAATCATATAATATTTGAATATTACTTATATAATTTTTAATTTCCTTATTTTTATTCCATGTAAAAAATTTATAATAAATTTTCAATAGTACTAATGTTTCTAAAATTGAATATAAATTTATTATTAAAAAAAAATTTAAAAGGAAAGTTTACCAATATATGAAATTTTTATATTTTTTTCATATAAAAAAAATTTTGTAATAAATTTTTAATATTAATATTTCTAAAATAATAAAAATTAAAAATATAAACATAAATTTATTAATAAATTAATAAGAAAATTCATTAATATAAAAAAATAAAATAAAAATATGTTGTTTTATTTGTTATATATCATTTTTTTTTCTTTTTCTTTCTTTATTATATTATATATATTATATATATTATATATTAAATGTATAAAAATAATTAGCAATTATCTAAGTTACAATATTCAGTTGAATTTAAAATATTATCAATATTTGTTTTAAACTTAAATTAAACTTCAATTTGCAAATAAGCGACCTCTAAGTATAATATCCTTACCATCGCCACGCGTCCCATAATACTTTGCGAGGCCATTGACAACACGTCAAAAATGGCAGATCCAGCACCTAATAAAAGTGATATTGAAGAGATTTTTAAAAGATTACGAGCTATTCCGACAAATAAGGTTTGTTTCTTCATTTATTATTTTATTTTATGATATTAAATATGAAACTGTACAAAACTATACAATAATAGACTTAACAATAATTTTAACATAATGTCATATTTTTAATTCCCAACCTGTAATTTTCCTAGAATTTTATAATGACAAACATATTTCATAAGATATTTTATGTCAATTTATTTTTTAAAAATATTAATAAAATTTTTTAATTTTTAAAAAGAATTTAATAATCGTTAATGAAATTTATAATTGAATAATTAGTTATATATTATTATAATATAGAATATTGATATAATATTATGATTTTTCCAGACATGTTTTGATTGCAATGCAAAAAATCCAGCATGGTCCAGTGTAACTTATGGTGTTTTCCTATGTATCGATTGCTCTGCAGTTCATCGAGGATTAGGAGTTCATTTAACATTTGTTCGATCTACTCAACTTGATACAAATTGGACTTGGTTACAATTGAGAAATATGCAATTGGGTGGAAATGCAAATGCTGTTGGTGTTCATATTAATAAAATTCAAAATTATTAATTATTATTATAATTACTATGATTAGTTTATTTTTATTTTATTAAATTATTTGAAATTATTTGATAATAATTGATTTTAAATAAATTTTTATTATATTTTACAGAAAAAATATTTTGCACAACACAATTGTTCAACAACTGATGCTCAGCAAAAATATAATTCACGTGCTGCTATGCAATATAGAGAAAAATTGGCACAAGCATCTGCTCAAGCAATGAGACGTTATGGAACAAAGGTAAAATTTATATTGTTTATATAAATTTCCATACAGAACATACACTTTAGTTAATCATTTTATAACTACAAATATGTGATAATTATAGGTTATTCTTCCTTCAACAAAAAATAAGACAATGGTGAGCTGTAAAACTATTTTCACAAAAACATTATCAAACTAAATTTGCTTAACATTTTATTTTAAAAGATAATTTTATAAAAATTGATATATGATTATTTTTACTTTCAATTGTTAATAGCACAATTTTTTTTTAAATTATTTATATATCATTGTATGTTCTGTTTTATTCACACTGATGAATTATTTTGAAGTATTTTTATTAATAACTAACTTATCCATATGTGTGTATCTTGCATAAAATATAACATTACAAAAAGAATTAAATTTTAAAAATTTTTTTTCAAGATTTGCATTCTCAAAAATTGTGTTTTATTGTAGTTGCATTTGGATGAAGGTCCAACATTAATGTCCGAAGAACAAGGTGAAATTGATTTTTTTAAGGAACATGAAAATACTGAAGCACATAATAAATCTTCAATGTATACGGAAGAAAATTCAGTTTCCAATTCTTCAATTTGTAATTCTATATTAAATAATGAAAACAAAAATAATCAAAAAGATTGCTTAGAAAGTGCTGCTAATTCTTTAGGACCTACTGTTAAATTATCTGATTCTACCTCAAATTTGATATCTGAGAGGAAATCTACCATAGGTGTCAGAAAAATTCAAAATAAACGAAGTAGTGTATGTATCATGCACAATTGATCTTTTATTTTTATTATATTTTTAGTGTAATTTGGTAATTAATTATATAAGTTATTTTTTAATTTTTTAAAAAAAATAATACAATTGAAAATTATATTAATTACAATATTAATATATTTAAAAAAAAATATTAATAATTTTTATACTTCTATAATAGTTCGGAAAAAAAGCTGGTGGATTAGGTGCTCAGAGAGTTAAAACAAATTTTGATGAATTAGAAAAAAGTGTTGCCGAAGCTACTAAAGAGCCACAGGAAAAGGATAATCAAGAAAATATAAAAAAAGAACAAGAGGAATTTGCTACTCGTCTTGCCTATCGTTATGAAAAGAATTTAAATGAACAAGCTAAAAAAATGGAACAGAAAATGAAACAATTAGATCCTTCCAAAGCAACGCAAGCAGAACGTCTTGGTATGGGATTTAATTCACGAAGGTAATGTTTGTATTTTATTTATAAAATTATTTATTTAATTTGTACGTATATATATTTATATATATGTGAATATATACAATGTTTCAAAAATATTGGAACATCTATAAACTGGACATTCCTGAAATAATTTTAAGCAATATTTTCTTTTGTAAAAACTTTTATTATGGTTTTATTAACGAGATATTAATAAAAAAAAATTAGTCAATAAAGCACGTAGCTTAATCGAACCGCGGCAATAGCATTAGCGAACATGAAAATATCCAAGTAATATAATAATATCTCAAAGTATATTAAATATTATATTATATATAATTAATTATATATATAATTTATTTATTTATTTATAATATAATTCGATGTAATTTTTTATCGATAAAAAAATATTTGTTATATTCAACATACTTTCTTCGAGATGTTTTGGACTTTCTCATGTTCGGTCAATAGTATATAACC